GCCGCTGTGAGAAGAAGGCAATGGGCATGAGAGTTCCGTTGATCTCCTGTTGTAAGACGGTGCCCACGGCAATAGCAGAAGCGTCTGCTGTGAGAGTGGTCCGGGTGCAGTGGTGGGCATAGCGAAACAAAAAGTTAGCTTCGCTAACCGCTAATCTGCTAACTAAAAAGTTAATTTCGCTAACGCTAAACAGCAAAAAAAAAATTAGCGGAAGCTTACTCTAACCGCTAACTTTTATTATTTAGCTTCGTATTTTTTTTGGGAGGGGGGCCTCTAAAACCCTTAAAAACAGACCTAGAGAGCTGAAATTTTCATATGTTGTCTTGTAGCTTAGACATAGAGCTTTCCAAGAAGGTATAGCATGCCAAGACCAGATGATGATCAGGGTGTACACAAATAATTAAATGAACAAATGAAATTTTACATTAGTTTACATTCAAGTTTCAACATACACTTTATAATCTTTATTTACTGTACGAAAAGACAGAAAGTATTAAACGAATCCAAAACTATAGTACTGTATAGCATAGGTAGCAAATAGCATCATGCCAAGATCAGATGATGATCAACTTATCAAGGTGTACACTGTACACAATTTCACAAATAATTAATTTGCATTCTCATACAACCTATTGGCCTTTTTATATAACTTATTGTTGGTCTTAGTCATTATACCAGTGCATTTTTATATAACTTATTGTTGGTCTTAGTCATGTAAATAAACAGAAAACTCTAATCTTTAATGAAAAGTAAGTTTTTAGACAAATTTGTTTGACGCACACCTTGGATGACATCCTGGTTATGAACTTATGCAGTACTTACCATAACCAAATATATTGACACAAAAAATCCTAATTAAATTAACAAATAAATGAGAAATTAAATTATACATTAGTTTACTATTACATTCTATGATTCTTTCAACATACACTGACAGTCATTATTTACTGTAAAAAAGTTTTAAACTTTAATAATCGAAAAATTCCATTAGCTCAGCTGCTGCAGCGCTGTGTCGACAAATCATGTCTTGTCACTTTTACACGTACTAACACACAGTCAGCCAAGCGTGCCTGACCGGCTGTTGGAGACACGCGTTGCTGCGTCACACGCTTATAACAGACAGGAACTAACATGTATAAATTTTGTTAGCAGACTTAAAGTTAGCGAAACTAAATTTAGCGGAAGCTAATTGGTCAGCTAATGGTTTCCAAAGTTAGCGAAAACGCTAATCCGCTAACGATAAAGTTAGCTTCGCTAATTAGCGGAACCGTGCCTACCACTGTCCGGGCGTTAGGTGCGGGGTGGGCCAGGAGGGTAAGGCGTGTGATGTGCTGTTTGATAGTGGTGAATGCCGTAACAGCCTCTTGAGTCCATATGAGAGGCTTGTGAGACGTCTTTGGGAGTCCCTTTGGGAGACTATGATCACAACCACGACTATGATTATAACAACCACGACCATGATTATAACAACCACGACCATGATTATAACAACCACGACCATGATTATAACAACCATGACCCTGATTATAACAATCACGACCATCTGGAAAACGATGTGGCTGTACGCTGTCAGCCGGACGGCGGTTGTGCGCAAGCCAAGCACGAGCATTCGAACTTTCATGACTCGGTAAACTGTACCACCGGACTCGCCACCGGGCACGAAGGGCCCACGATCACTTGTACAGACTGTTGTGTGTTGGTCTATGCTTCACCTGATATATAGACTGTTGTGTGTTGGTCTATACTTAGGAAAAATGTCATAAAAAAATGTCACTTGAAGTCATAATCTGATAATGATTTTACCATTCATCTTCAACAATGATGCTAACCTGACAAAAGTAATGGTATACAGAGATTTAGTGATACAAACATTACACCAATGACAAAATATTTCCTTATCGACCTGAATTTAGTTATCGGCACTTTGTTCAGTAGTTTGGTTAAGCTGAACCAAAATCTCTGTACTGTATCATAAGAATAATTTTCCAGACAGTGTATTTGATCTTTGTCCTTCCTGTGACCTGCACTCTGGAATTTGGTCTTCTGCACACTACCATACCATACCTTATTATCACCTCTCGCAGTTTCATTATGATCAGTTGAACTTTTTTGACATTCTGTGAACTACTTTTAAGGAGAAGAAGAAGCAAAATAATAATACAACATGTACTGTAATAATAATAAATGTAGTATGGTAATCAAACAATAATAACTGAAGTGTCAAAACAAGAGAACAAATAACTAATTTTACAAATATTTGGAATAACCTGCCAAAGAATATTGTGACAACACATATTCTTTAAGTTCAGACCTGACCAACACAGATTCTTTAAGTTCAGACCTGACCAACACAGAAATATGTTCAGGTACATTCATGGACCTGTACATGCCTATAAATGCCCAGTACTTCTTTACAATGTGTACATGCCCAGTACTTGCTAACAGTGCATAACAGAAAAGACTGGCCATTAAGAGGATAAGCAATTAGGGAAGAGGTGAGGCTTGCTGTAAGCTCAAGAATGGTAAAAAACCCACCAGTATGTGGAATCATCATTGACATGGAAGGTGGAGTAGTAATAGAGTGAATGACAAGAGAGTACAATGTAAGTAAGACAGAGTGAACGGCAGAAAACATGTACATATAGTTATCCAGAGTAAATCAAAGTGATTAATTATGGGAGAATAAGTCATGTTAAATATATGACAGAAAGTCTATGGTTGGATTATAATCAAGAGAAATATAGAAGATTAAACTGAGTATTAGGAGACAACCTGTGAGTAGGAGGCTGCATTAAACATAAGAGAGAAATTCAAGAGAGGCAAATTATGGTTGACAAAAGAACAGTGTATGGGGTTAGAGTAGTACATGGAAACTGATAACTGCTGCCCTGAGTTTCTGTTCAGAGTGAAGCAAGTGTTAAGTTTGTTAAGAAAAATTAAACTGGTTCCAAGTGAAAGCAGGACTTTGCTAAGGACAATGGTTGATGGTTGTTTTAACGTCTTTATGGATGGGCCAGTGAGCAAGAACAAGGAGGAGGTGTAAATGGGAGGTGACTCAGTAGCTATATGCAGTTGATAGGTTGTACCTCTCTAGTCCGGCAACCTCGGGACCTGACCTGTGCCGGACCATGGAAATTCACCCTCGAAACACCCTACATAAAGCATAAAAACATAAGATAGGAAATAAATAAATAAGAAAAAGTAATATGGTTAAAATACTATTTCATTTACCATTAATGCTCCCATAATTCTGCTTCCAAAGTGAAGTGATGGTACTGTAACTAAAATTACATTTGAGTTACATCAGGGATGTTGACTATTGGGCAAACTAAAATCGTTCCGGACCACAGAATGCCGGACTAGAGAGGTACAACCTGTACTCCAGTGGGTAATACAGAAGAAATGATATATTGTACATACTGTATTAGGGAGGGAGTTTGAATGACTGCGTGCTGTGAGGCAGTTGATAGTGACTGTAAAGAAAAGAAAATAGACGGAGAATTATGTTCGCTTAAATGAAGATAGCACGAGGGACGTGGAGTGCTCCGGGTATCAGAGTGGATGTGCAGTAAATGGAAAGTTGAGTGATGAATCAAACACAAAGTAAAAGGAAGGACAGTAAGAAATACTTTGAAAAATGCATTGAAAGAGAAAATAAACAACATCAATGGAAGAAAAATAGTGATGTTTAGTGGCAATCCATGAGGTGACTTATTATGTGGGTGGGAAGCAGGAATTATGGCGAGGAGGAGGAGGAAGAATTAAAGGCTTGATAGCAGCGTATGTAGAGAGAGAGAGAGAGAAATATGAAGATTTGGAACTGAAAGAAGTTTTGGGTAGAATGAAGAGTGGAGTGATTTTTGGGAAGGACGGACTGTTGTGGAGGAAGGAGGAGGAGGAGGAGGAGGAGAATGCCACAGTAGAGTGCATTAATAAAACCAGTAAGACTGAATGAATGAATATAAATAAAGAGAGATTATGTATGTGTATTTGCATTTGTTTCCAGCCATTTTACATTGAAGAAGGTAAAAGCTTGAAGAAAATATACAGAACCTCGCTAGTTTGCCCGTGAAAATAATAAAAGCCAAGTTCACACCAACCTGGCAGCAGCACTAGACTAACCCTCAATCTATATTTAACTTGGTACTATATTAAATTTTATGCCTACCAGTTGTGTGGTGTACTGTGCCAGCTCCTTGGGTGGCCAGTACAAAGCATACAGTACAATATTATGTATATTATTTATGTTTAATATGAGATCTTTATGTCTATGGTCTTGGGGTCCAATGTACTGTACTACCTGGTCCACTGTTATAGGTTAGGTTAGGTGGTAGTAAGATGTTCAAGTATGTCACACTGTTAGTCCCAAGGGTATTCATATTCTTGAGAGGTTTAACTCTATCATGGTAATATTATGTAGAACAATTAAGTCTTTCCTCAATGATATGTTTGGTTGATGATTGACTTTACTGCAAATCTTGTGCAGTCAATTTTCCTGCAACCTCTTCCTCTTCACTGTCATTTTCTACATCCATGGTGCTGGTACTCTCAAGCAATTTTTCATTAACTCGTGGTTTTATTTTCCTGGGAGGTGTTGGATCATCTTCTTGATCAGAGTTGAGCACAATGTCTTCCATCTTTACATCAGTGACAGAGTCTTGAAGATCCTCCACTGGTTCTTGTGGGATGACAAATTCTGTTTTAATTCCACTTGGGATTATTCTTGTGATTCTCTTCCTTGCATAAGTAGCATCAGAGGTCAGACTATTTGTGAAACCACCTGGCTTGACCACACCCTTTCTCTTTTCTAAATTATCCTCCACTGCTTTTTGAATCATCTCTGCTGATGTTTTTGCTTTAGAAAATGCATTACGGATGCAATTCATGATCTGTTCTTTGTGGAGCGACACTCGGCCCGGGAATAACAAGGAGGTTATTTCACCGTGTGGATTCAGCCCGACGACCAACTTCCCAGACATCACCTGTTGGAGTAGGAACATTATTAGGAGTTATTCAAGTCAATTCCAAAGAACATTTGGGGATTTACTACTTAATAATGTTCTCATGTTGATCACACTGGTTTAGAGAGTAAATTATTTATTCACTTAACTTCTCTTTATCCTTAGACTCCAAATTCATTATTTAATGTTGCACTACCTGCCATCTGGCAGATCAAGACAGTGGTGTACAGTATATTAGAACAGTGGTGTACAGTATATTAGAACAGTGGTGTACAGTACAGTATATTAGAACAGTGGTGTACAGTACAGTATATTAGAACAGTGGTGTACAGTACAGTATATTAGAACAGTGGTGTACAGTATATAAGAACAGTGGTGTACAGTATATAAGAACAGTGGTGTACAGTACAGTATATTAGAACAGTGGTGTACAGTACAGTATATTAGAACAGTGGTGTACAGTACAGTATATTAGAACAGTGGTGTACAGTACAGTATATTAGAACAGTGGTGTACAGTACAGTATATTAGAACAGTGGTGTACAGTACAGTATATTAGAACAGTGGTGTACAGTACAGTATATTAGAACAGTGGTGTACAGTACAGTATATTAGAACAGTGGTGTACAGTACAGTATATTAGAACAGTGGTGTACAGTACAGTATATTAGAACAGTGGTGTACAGTACAGTATATTAGAACAGTGGTGTACAGTACAGTATATTAGGAACAGTGGTGTGTGTACAGTACAGTATATTAGAATAGTGTGTGTACAGTACAGTATATTAGAACAGTGGTGTACAGTACAGTATATATTAGAACAGTGTGTACAGTACAGTATATAAACAGTGGTGTACATGCACAGTATATTAGAACAGTGGTGTACAGTACAGTATATTAGAACAGTGGTGTACAGTACAGTATATTAGAACAGTGGTGTACAGTACAGTATATTAGAACAGTGGTGTACAGTACAGTATATTAGAACAGTGGTGTACAGTACAGTATATTAGAACAGTGGTGTACAGTACAGTATATTAGAACAGTGGTGTACAGTACAGTATATTAGAACAGTGGTGTACAGTACAGTATATTAGAACAGTGGTGTACAGTACAGTATATTAGAACAGTGGTGTACAGTACAGTATATTAGAACAGTGGTGTACAGTACAGTATATTAGAACAGTGGTGTACAGTACAGTATATTAGAACAGTGGTGTACAGTACAGTATATTAGAACAGTGGTGTACAGTACAGTATATTAGAACAGTGGTGTACAGTACAGTATATTAGAACAGTGGTGTAGAGTACAGTATAGTAGAACAGAGGTGTACAGTACAGTATATTAGAACAGTGGTGTACAGTACAGGACAGAGTTTGTGGTGTACAGTACAGTATATTAGAACAGTGGTGTACAGTATATAAGAAACAGTGGTGTACAGTATATAAGAACAGTGGTACAGTATATTAGAACAGTGTATAGCAGTATATTAGAAACAGTGGTGTACAGCACAGTATATTAGGAAATATGTGTACAGTACAGAGACAGGTCAGTGTGTATGGTATATATTAGGAACAGTGGTGTACAGTACAGTATATTAGAACAGTGGTACAGTACAGTATATTAGAACAGTGGTGTACAGTACAGTATATTAGAACAGTGGTGTACAGTATAGTATATTAGAACAGTGGTGTACAGTACAGTATATTAGAACAGTGGTGTACAGTACAGTATATTAGAACAGTGGTGTACAGTACAGTATATTAGAACAGTGGTGTACAGTACAGTATATTAGAACAGTGGTGTACAGTACAGTATATTAGAACAGTGGTGTACAGTACAGTATATTAGAACAGTGGTGTACAGTACAGTATATTAGAACAGTGGTGTACAGTACAGTATATTAGAACAGTGGTGTACAGTACAGTATATTAGAACAGTGGTGTACAGTACAGTATATTAGAACAGTGGTGTACAGTACAGTATATTAGAACAGTGGTGTACAGTACAGTATATTAGAACAGTGGTGTACAGTACAGTATATTAGAACAGTGGTGTACAGTACAGTATATTAGAACAGTGGTGTACAGTACAGTATATTAGAACAGTGGTGTACAGTACAGTATATTAGAACAGTGGTGTACAGTACAGTATATTAGAACAGTGGTGTAGAGTACAGTACAGTAGTATAGAACAGTGGTGTACAGTACAGTATATTAGAACAGTGGTGTACAGTACAGTATATTAGAACAGTGGTGTACAGTACAGTATATTAGAACAGTGGTGTACAGTACAGTATATTAGAACAGTGGTGTACAGTACAGTATATTAGAACAGTGGTGTACAGTACGGTATATTAGAACAGTGGTGTACAGTACAGTATATTAGAACAGTGGTGTACAGTACAGTATATTAGAACAGTGGTGTACAGTACAGTATATTAGAACAGTGGTGTACGGTACAGTATATTAGAACAGTGGTGTACAGTATATAAGAACAGTGGTGTACGGTATATACAAACAGTGATGTACAGTACAGTATATTAGAACAGTGGTGTACGGTACAGTATATTAGAACAGTGGTGTACAGTACGGTATGTTAGAACATACAGTACAGTATATTAGAACAGTGGTGTACAGTACAGTATATTAGAACAGTGGTGTACAGTATATAAGAACAGTGGTGTACAGTATATAAGAACAGTGGTGTACAGTATATACAAACAGTGGTGTACAGTACAGTATATTAGAACAGTGGTGTACAGTATATAAGAACAGTGGTGTACAGTATATAAGAACAGTGGTGCAACAGCACAGCATAATAGAACAGTGGTGCACAGCACAAAGACAGGTTGAAAGGGGTGTACAGGCACAGGCATACAGAACAGTGGTGTGCTGTGCACAGCACAGAACAAAGTGGCAGTATATTAGAACAGTGTGCAGCAAGCAGCACAGTGGTGTACAGCACAGAACAGTGGTGTGTACAGTGCACAGTATATATTAGAACAGTGGTGTGGCTAAGTACAGTATATTAGAACAGTGGTGTAACAGCATATAGAACAGTGTGTACAGTACAGTATATTAGAACAGTGCACAGTACAGCATATATTAGAACAGTATATTAGAAATGAAAGTGGTGTAAGCAGTATAGCATAGAACAGGTACAGCACAGTATAATAGGAACAGTGGTGTACAGCACAGATATTAGAAACGAAAGTGGTGCACAGACAGAACAGTGGTGTACAGCACAGTGACATTAGGAAACAGTGGTGCACAGTATAGTATAGACAGAAACAAAGTGGTGTACAGCACAGCATACAGGGGAAATGAAAGGTGTACAGTACAGCATAGAACAGTGGTGTACAGTACAGCATAGAACAGTGGTGTACAGTATAGTATATTAGAACAGTGTACAGTACAGTATACAGAACAGTGGTGTACAGTACAGCATATTAGGAACAGGTGTACAGTATAGAACAGTGTGTACAGTACAGCATAGAACAGGGTACAGTATATATGCAGCAGTGTGTACAGTATATAAGAAACAGTGGTATACAGCACAGTATACAGGAACAGTGGTGTACAGTACAGTATATTAGAACAGTGTGCACAGCACAGTATATATGTTCAGTGTACAGTACAGCATAATAGGAACAGTGGCACAGTATAGCATAATAGGAACAGTGGTGTAACAGCACAGCATTAGGAACAGTGGTACAGCACAGACATAACAGGGTGTACAGTACAGAGACAGAAATGAAATGTGCACAGAGCATAGAACAGTGGTGTACAGTACAGAACAGTGGTGTACAGCAGTATACAGAAACAGTGGTGTAAAGCAGTATGTGCATATTAGAAACAGTGCAGTACAGTATATTAGAAACAGTGGTGTACAGTACAGTATACAGAACAGTGGTGTACAGCACAGTATATTAGGAACAGTGGTGTACAGTACAGTATATTAACAGTGGTGTACAGTACAGCATATTAGGAAATATGGTGTACAGTACAGTGTATATTAGGAACAGTGTACAGCACAGTATATTAGAACAGTGGTACAGTACAGTATATTAGAACAGTGGGTGTACAGCACAGTGAGTATTAGAACAGTGGTGTGTACTAGCAGCATATTAGAACAGTGGTGCACAGTACAGCATATTAGAACAGTGGTGCACAGCACAGCATATTAGAACAGTGGTGTACAGCACAGTATATTAGAAACAGTGGTGCACAGCACAGCATATAGAAACAGTGGTGTACAGCACAGTATATTAGGTAACAGTGGTGTACAGTATATTAGAAACAGTGTGGTGTACAGTGGCAGTATATTAGAACAGTGGTGCAAGGTGTACAGTATATTAGAACAGTGGTACAGTACAGTATATTGAGAATGAAAGTGGTACAGTACAGTATATTAGAACAGTGGTGTAAGGTATATAAGAAATGTGGTGTAAGCAGTAAGTATAAGAACAGTGTGTACAGTACAGTATATTAGGAACAGTGGTGTACAGTATATTAGGAACAGTGGTGTACAGTACAGCATACAGAACAGTGGTGTACAGTACAGTATTAGGAAACAGTGGTGTACAGCACAGTATATTAGGAACAGTGGTGTAACAGGCACAGTATATTTTAGAACAGTGGTGTACAGCATTAAGTGATGACAGAACAGTGGTGCACATAACAGCCATATTAGGAACAGTGGTGTACAGCACAGTATATAGGAACAGTGGGTGTACAGTACAGTATACAGGAACAGTGTACAGTACAGTATATTAGAACAGTGGTGTATGCACAGTATAGAACAGGTGTACAGTACAGTATAGAACAGTGGTACAGCACAGAGCATAGAACAGTGGGTGTATGTATAGAACAGTGGTGTACAGTACAGTATTAGAAACAGGGTGTATGTGTACAGTATACAGGAATATGGTGTACAGTACAAGGTATATAGAAATGTGGTGTACAGTACAGTATATTAGAACAGTGTGTGTACAGTACAGTATATATAGAAACAGTGGTAAAGCAGTACAGTATAT